GGGTCGCTTATAGTTACTCCATGTGTACATCCGGGTTAACAAAAAGGAGGGCGTGGCTACACCCCGGTAGAGTTTTCTGGGGTCCCTACTGGTGAGAAGGTTGGTTCATTTCTTCTACTGTATCAAAAAAGTAATATCTGACTTCAAATTTCCAGTTCTTCCGTTTTTGAAATGTTACTTTGCATAATATTTACCGTGTCCTGAAGGAAATCAAGAGATTCCATTGTGAACATTCACCTCGTTAGTGGCCAGCAGAAATATGTTGTGGTGGCAGGAGGGCAGGGAATCCTCCCAAAATGTCTAGGAACTTACAAGAAGGAATTCACGGTATACCTGACAGAGGCAATCCTACCTTAACTACACATTAAAAATTAAAACTAAAGATAAAATGTTTGCTCCCTGCAACGAAAGTAACTCCAGAGTCGTAGTCAGTACATCTGTGTTTGGGAGAGAAAAATGCGCAGTCTAGGCCGGCCTCACTTCACTCACTCCTTCTCCTGCCTTTATCAGCATATCCTACCGGCCTGTGCCACCACAAAGCGCAGTAGATCTATTCGCGATTTTTGGAGTCAAAGCCTCTTCTTGACATCAGATGCTCATTTCTTCCCTGTACTTGCAGAGGTGGAAGCGAAGTGCTGGGCGCCCCCTCGCGCTCATTCCGGGAAACGCACTCCACGGGGCCTGCCAACTCCCAGGGCAGGAAAGTCTGCTCTGCACCACAACCAATTCCTGTGCTCACTTGCTCTTCCTCTGCCCTGGGCCCCACATTCACAGCGGGAGATCAGTGCTCTAAGGAAGGCTCACAGGGAGGTGGCCTTCCTCAAGGGTGAATCACAGGTCTCAAAACTCAATCCTCAGGAAACTGCTGGGGGTCACAACACTAGGACGCTGTCATTGACTTCTAAATGCAGGACTCCAAGAGAGGCCAGCTCAGGTTGGGAAGAGATTTCAATAGAAACACAAGTGCCTGAATGCTCATGGTCCTTGCCCACTGCAGTAACAACATCGGAACCAAGAATAAGAATAAGACAGACACAGCTTCAGTGTCTCTCAACAGTTAGGCCTTGTCTCAGAAGGCGTCCTCACCTCACAGCAAGGCTTTCAAATTAGGAAGCCATGTGTGGAGCCTAGATCCTCATGAACCAATCCCCCTCAATAAATGCATCCATCAGCTAAGACTAAGACTCCCCTGCTGACCTCTACAAGACACAAGACATCTGAACACAACAGAGGCCATATAGGACTGTCCTCTGTGCCTATGAGTTCAGACCATGTGACTTCCTCAGTCAACTGCAGGAATGTCTCACTGCTGGTTGTTTTAAGAACCAGGGTGTAATTTCCTTGACTTTCTTTACCAAAGCAGACAGTGTTGCAGGTCCTGCCATCTTCCTGTGGATCGTGGAGTGAAATAGAGGCAAAGCAGAGCCTCCAAGCAACTGCAGTGGGCACAGTGTGTGGTTTCTATGTATTAGAAATGACATCTCCAGTCTCCTCACCTTCTCCTCTCTCTCCTTTCCACCCTCCCTTTCTACCTCCCTCCACCTCTCTATCTCCATTTCCTGTTTCAGTGTGTGTGTGTGTGTGTGTGTGTGTGTATGCATACATGCATGCTCTCTGTATCAGCCTGAGAATCTCACCAGCAGAAGCTGGTTTTTGTTTATTTATCTTGGACATTCTGACTTGTATACTGAAATCTCAATGTGGGTTTTATTTGCCCTGATAACTAAGAATAATGACCATTTCTTTAAGTGTTTCTAAACCATTTGTGTTCATCTTTTGAAAAATCTGTGGTGAGATGAATACAGCACTTTTTAAATTGGGCGATTTGTTTATTTGATGCCCTATTTTTGGAGTTCAACACATATTTTAAAATTGGCTATATATCATATGTGTGTTTGGTAAAAACATTTTTATTTCTGCAGGTTCCCATATTGTCTGAATGGCAGTGTCCTTTACTGTGCAGAAGTTTCTCAGTTTCAAGGGGCTCCATTTATTTATTATTGACTTAGTGCCTGTTTTAAGAGTATCCTGTTCAGAAAGTCTCTTCCTGTGCCAATGAGCTCAAGGCTATTCAACACTTTCTCTCCTGTCAGGTTCACTGTGTCTGCTTTATGTTGTGGTCTTTGATCCAACTGGAGCTGAGTTTAGTGCAGAGTGGTAAGAATGAATGAGACTGCATTTCCTGACAGGCAGCCATCCAGTTTGACCAGCACTGTTTGTTGAAGATGCCATCCCTTTTCTCATGCCTATGTATGGTTTCTTTAACAAAAATCAGGTGTCCATAGATGGGTGGACTTACATCTCCATCTTCAGTTCAATGTTGATGCTCAATGTGTCTGTTTTTATGCCAACACCATGCTGTTCTTATTACTATAGCTCTGGAGTAGAATTTGAGATCTCAGATGGTGAGACCTCCAGCAGTTCTTTTACCGTTCAGAACTCTTTTTGCTATCCTGGGGTTTTCATGTTTCCATATACAGATGAGAACAGTCCTTTCAAGAATTGTGAAGGTTGTGCTGGGAATTTGGTGGGCAGTGCATTGAATCTGTAGATTGCTTTATGGAGAAGAGCCATTTCCATTCTATCAATCCTACCATTCCCTGAGCATGAAGGAACTCTTCATTTTCTGATATCTTATTCAATTTCTTTAACAGTGCTTTAAGGATTTTTATCATACAAGTCTTTCACTTGTTTGGGTAGAGTTATTACAAGATGTTTTAAATATTTTGAGGCTTTTATGAAATGTGTCGATTCCATGTGTGTTAATTTTTTTGTCGTCCTACTGCTAAAAATACTCATCATCTGTAGGAGTTTCCTAGTAGAATTTTTAAGATCATTTGTGTGTATTATCATATCATTTGCAACTAAAGGTGTGTTTACTTCTTCCTTGCCTATTGGTATCTCCTGATCACCTGTTCTCCTCATTGTCCGAGCTAAGAACTCAAGTACTAGATGGACTAGGTATGGACAGATGGGCATCCTTCTCTTGTTCATGACTTTACTGTGGATGCTTCAAGATTCTCTCCATTCACTTTGGTGCTGGCTGTGGACGAGCTATAAACTGCCTTTGTTGTGTTGACATTTGTGCCATGTATCCTTAGTCTGTCTCTCCAGGACTTTTACCATGGAATGATGTTCGATTTTATCAAAGGCCTTTTCTTCAGCTAATGTGATGGTCATATGTTTTTTATTTCAGTCTGGATATCTGGTAGATGACATTTATTGATTTATGTATGCTGAATGATTCCCTGAATTTCTGTGATGAAGCCAACTTGATCATGGCAATTGATCCCTTGATACTCTTGGGATTCTGTTTGCAAGTATTTTATTGAGCATTTTTTTTTGCATCTATGTTCATAAGAGAACATGTTCTGCAGTACTCCTTTTTTGAAAGCTTTATCTTGTTTAGATATCAGGGTAATTGTAACCTCATAATAAAGTGTTCCTTATGTCTTAATTTTGTGGGATAATTTGAGGAATGTTGACATTGATTTTTTTAATTTATTTATTTATTTGTTTATAGAAATTTCCACTTGACATTAATTTTTTTAAAAGTCTTTTAGAATTTTGTTCTGAATCCATCTGACCCTCGGGTTGTCAGTTGGTAGAGTTTTTATTATTGCTTCTATTTCACTAGGGATTGTAGGTCTGTTTCAATGCTTCTCTGCTCTTGATTTTAGTTTGGTAGATGATATGCATCAACAAATTTATCCATTTCCTTTAGGTTTTCTAATTGCTGGACTCTTGTCCAATGGCATGCTCAGAGAGATCATGAACTTTAACTGTGGCATCCAACTCTCTGACAACTTGTTCCAGAAGAAATTGTGTATGTCCATGAGGGTATAGATTTGACCCACAATCCTCAGTGGAGACTGTTGACTTGTGAATGAAAGCTTCAGGTTGCATTTTGGTTTAAAACAACACCACCAACTTTAAAGAAGAAAAAATACAGAAATGGATGGCACCATCGAGCAGCAGGGGGTGGAGGTGTGCCAGGGAGGAGCTTCCAGTCGCCCTTGATGGGATCATTTCCATAATACTTTCTATGTGCAGCTCAGGTTTTATTTAAATATTTATTTGAATCAAATTTGGCATGCAGCGGTGCAAACAGATTAGAAACCAAATGCAGGTCTAGTGTACTCTCCAGTGACTGCATTTCCCTAAATGATACATTGCTCTTGCTTAAGCTCCTTGACTTAGGAAGTCTTTCAGCTCATTTTTTGGCACATGGTAGTCCTGCGTTTCCAATTTATGCTTAAATACCGGCGTTTGTTCTCGGTTCTCGGGCTCTATGCCAGAGGTAGGAATGGGTGGGAGTTTATCAGGGAAAGGAAGCAAAAGTCACAATTAGGGTAGGACTTGACTCTTGACTCACATCGGGAATAAAAGGTGACAGTTCTGTCTCCAGGTGCAAAGCCATACAGAGAGTGTCTGAAAGTAGTGAGAATCAGGATGACTTAACTTAAGCCCCCAAGGAGCCGGATGCTGCTTTCATGGACAGAGAGGCATTTGTGTTGACTTTCTTAGTACAACCTTGGCATTTTACAGGCACCTGAGAGCCTGGGAACAATGAGGATAGATTCCTAGAAGTGAATTTGTGGGTGTTTTTTCTATAGAGCAAGTAGCACAGAGTGCACTCACACAGCTTCCCCAGCACAGCCTATGTCACACCTAGGGCTGTGGCTCCTAAACCACAAACGTGAACAGCATAGCACATGCTTAATTCTGTACTCTGTTGAAACACAGGGGTATTTGTATATGACAACATTTCCAAATACAGAAAAGCTACACCAAAAACATAATACAATAATAATAATAATCAACAACAGTTTTATTTCTAGGACTATGAAGGGACTAGTGTGCGCCCAGCAGGATTTAGTTTCACAGTGCCATCAAGCAAGATGTTACTTGTCTGGCTTTTGGAAGCTTGGGGCTGAGGGGTGGAGTCAGGCAGGCAGGGTACTGGAAAGATCATGGCCCTTTTTTTTTCACCAGTGGACCCACAGTCGCTGGGGAGTCGTTGCTTTTCATGACGAAGCAAACCATCTCCCAATAGCATCTAGGTGAAATATTTTACAAAACTCCATCAGGACAGTGGGTGGTTGGGTCTCAGTGGATACACTGTCTATGAGTTGCCTGGTTCCAGTCATCCTTAATCCCTATAAGTTTCTGGCTTAAGAAGGGTTGGGGCACTTTCACTGATGACAAAAAAAAAAAAAAGAGAAACTAGACCAACTGTAATTATAGGGCCCATGTCAGTCTTGTCTTTAGGGAGTCAGAGGACCTGGTGATGACCCCTCTATCCTTATGATGTATAGCCTACCTATGCTGGGTGTGCTGTGTGCAGGGGGTACACCAGTGATGCTGTACCAGTGTGAGGACCACAGGGTATGGAATTTTTCGTATTTGCTCAAGGGTCCCTATCAGGATCTCTTTATCCACACAAGGTTGCCAGGCTGGAACTTGTGGGAAGGTTCCAGACAAACATGCAGCCTCACAAACTGTCTGATGAATATTCCCTGTCACTGTCGCAGGAGCTGCTAGGACATAGGGAAAGAATGATTAGTCATTTCTGTCTTAGGAGCTTCATAATACAAAATTCATCTCTCCCGTAGGACAGAAAAAGACACAGAATTGGTCCAGTATTCACCAGTCTCAAGGACATGCATAGAAAAGGTTTCCTTTCTATTTAACCTTCCTGTCTTCCCTGAGCTTTGTGTCCTATATGTAGTTTCCAATCAATATTTAGGACCTTAGCCAGATTTAGGAAAATGTTGGCAAGGAAGACCAGGCTACTGTTGGACCCCAGAGAGAGGGGATACTTCAATCTGGGAATAATATCTGGACCTGAGTCACTCAGCAGTTATAGATGCCTGCAGCTGGGTAGCCGGGTAGAGTCTGGTGATCATCTGTCCTCTGATAAAGGAAGGGAGTACAGGTCCTTTATTCAGGAAGAAACACCATCCACTGGTCTCCTGTTGAGTATCTTTTCTTCCGGTCCACTTGATTTCTTTGTATACACATTGGGCTCTAGAGAAATTAAGGTTCAGGCTGAGTAACCAAGATCTGGAGAAAACTCTGCTTCTAGAGCCACTTTCAAGGCAGCCGTATTTGCTACTTTGTTCCCTGGACCTTTGGGGATTCTCATTTGAGGCCTTTTACACTACACAATGGCTACCTCTCTTGGTGGACATATGACCTCTTACATGGCCAGGATATTTTTATGATTGTTGCTTTTATTTATTCTCAGTGAGAGCTGTGGAACCCCAAAATTTCTATAGAGGGTTTCATGGATATGGGCTATGACAAGGGATTAGCATCTGTCTGTGTCCACAGGGATGACTTTGTCCTTCTCACAGTGAAGAGCTGGTTAAGGCCAGAAGCACAGCCCTTTATGCAGAAGCCACTTGGGTGAGGGATTTAACCCACACCTTTGTGTCCAAGGTGAAAGCTGTGGCCCCAGCATGGCTGTTCTCACCTTAATAAAACTTCTCCTATTCAGGATCTCCTCAGGTCTGGTGTTGGACTGCACTGACCACTTTCAGAAGTGCAGATGCCAAGGAGCCCAGGTGGGAGGTCAGAGACTCCTCATCCTGTTGCAAATGGGGTACTCTCATCCTAGGCGAGGAAGCCAGAATGAACACTTTATGAACTTGAAGATTTTATTGAGCCACACAGACTTGGACAGGGTCACACACTCTCAGGAATATAAGTCTAGAAGAGTCACAAGCTGAGTGAGCAGAGACTTTTTAAAGACAAAAACCACAAGTTTGGTACATTTCACTAGACTCAAACACTTAGCAAGTTCCAAACCTAGGCATCTCATTGCAATTCTACAGAGTTGGAACAGCCACTCTGAAGTCATGGAGCTTTGATTATGGTTTTATGTTTATGAACTTACTCACCATAAAATAAGAAAAACATATGGCAGAGTTGAGACAGAAAAACCATTTTCTCGATAACATTTTTCATGATTCACAGGCCCTTTTCCTTCATGATGGCCTTCCTTGTCACCATATGTCACTGTATTTGTCAGGGTTTTCTAGAGCAACAGAACTGATAGAATCAATCTTCTCTGTATATAGGAAGGGTATTTATCCGAATGACTTGCAGGCTGTGATCCAGCTACTCCAACAGTGGCTGCCTATGAACACAAAATCCAGGAATCAAGAAGTTGCTCAGTCTATGAGACTGGATGTCTCAGATGTTCTTCTGGAGATGCTGGAATCCCGAAGAAGTAGGCTCTAATGCAGTGGTTTTCAACCTTCCTAATGCTGTGAGCCTTTAATACAGTTTCTCATGTTGTGATGACCCCCAATTCTAAAATTTTTTTACATTTTACAATTTTGTAACTGTAATTTTCTACTGTTATGAATCATAATGTAAATAGCTAATAAGCAGGATGTCGGAGATGTGACCCCCAAATGAATAGAGACCCACGGGTTGAGAAACAGTGCTCTAATGCCAGTGTAGGAATGGACCTGCTAGAATGAGGAAAGCAAGCAAGCAAAAAAACAAGTCATGCAGTGCCTGTCAATCATGTGATCAAGAGCCCACCCTCAGCAAGGCTGATCTACCTAAAGCCCCTTTAAAGAGGCTGCAGGAGAAAGTCTTTCTCTCCTGAGATAATGTGCTTTTCCTTTCCTGGAACTCCACTCTGTGGTCACCTGTGGAGCTGCACCAAGCAGTCTGTGAAGCTCAATGACTTTTCTGAGTTCTAAATCAGAAGATCTGAGCTTCTCCATGTTCTGATTCTCTCTTTAGAAATCTGGCCAAAGCCAGACTTTGTCACTTCTTCTCTGGACCCACCTTGCTGCTTGCTGCCATGTGACTCTCATTGCTCTTTATGGTTGAATGGATGTGTTTGACTTAATCGGCTTTTTCTCTTTGTCCTCCCTCCTTCCTTCCAGTTATACATTAAACAAAGACGTCCTTTGAATTCAGTGCATGAGAATTCTCACAGGGTCTCTCATCTTTATTCAGGTAATGCTCCACTCTTACTATCAATGTCCCCAGTAAAAACCCATTAGGCTGTTTCACTCCTGAAAGTTATTTGTTTCTTTACCCACATATGGAGCTGTTCTCACTTGCTTTCCTTACTATTTCTTTAAAATTTAAATTCTAAGTGTTTATAATGGAAAATCTTAAGTATATATACACTAGATAAAATGGTATGATATATTCTGTCAGCACTGGCTTTTCTCAAAGAACTGGGAGTTTTGGCAAGAGGAATAAAAGAATGTGGTATCAGCTACAGAGTATTTTGCTACATGAAAATCATCCACATTCCTCGTGAACTTGCCCCTTTGCTTTGTATGAGCACTGTTTCCCAGGATACCCAACATTCTTTACTAAAACAAGCAAGTGAGCAAAGAAAAATTAAAGTAAGGACAGTGGGAATAAAGTAATAAAATAAAATAGTGAAGCAAACCATTTTCAAAATCCAGAAGACAGGTTCCTTTCTGTAGACTGAAATAGAAATCCCAGAAGATCCTTACTTTCCACAATTTACCACAAATCACAAATGTCAGAGAACTTGCTGGAGTGGGGTTCAACCTCCGCTGCACCTCCCCTCCCCACCTTCCCTTTGAACCACACTGGATCTGAAAACCCCAGGCCCCAGCCCACAGGGAACTTCCTTAGCTGTGCCCATTGGGAGCTGTGCTGCTAGAGTTACCCTTGTTCTTTGACACAAGGGGCATAGTCCACAGTAATTTCCTGTAACTCAACAGAGTGCAAATTACCGGAAAGAGTAGACTAGAAAGCAAAACACACACACACACACACACACACACACACACACACACACACACAGTGCAAACAAACCAAAAAACAAGGAAAACCCCAACTCAAATAAACCAACTCTCAAGTCCAGAAGAAACTCAAGACAAATGACAGACTTCCATGCTACTACCATCCCACAATGCATGCTGGCCTCCAGGCTCACTTAGGACCTGTGACTCCTCTCAGTTCCTCTCTCCCTGGCCCATAATCTAAACCCCAGCTCATTGACTTCCTTTTCCCAGCCTCTCATTCCTACATAGCCCTGCCATTTTGGCCATGCTTTCTCTTTTATCTTCCTCTCTTGGTCCTCCTCTCTCACTCTCCTCTGCTCTTTGTTCTCCAAAGTTCAGGTTTAGTCTACTCCTTTCTCTCCCCACTGTGGACTCTTCCAGATGCCTCTGGCTGCTCTTCCTCACATCTACAATAAAACCTTCCCCTCAAACCTACCTGGAAATGGTCATGTCCTCACTTTATTCATTAATGAGATAAAAACTATGGCTCAGGCCTCATAATTAATTCACTGCCCATTTCTCTTGCCTGGTTCTACTTAAGCATGACAAGATAGGAGGGGCAATGGAGACATGGGATGAAGTGTAGGAAGAACCAGCCTGCCTCCACTTCAAGCTTAAAAGCCGTCTCATAGTAAAGACAAAATAGGTTCATTTCTGTTTATGACAAAACCTCTGTTTTCATGGATTGGCATGTCAACCTGCAAGCCTAGCTACAGATGGTTCTGTACTGTCTGCTCCAGGAATGGGAATCAGCTCTTCGTTTCCAAACGTTGTTTATAAGCATCTTGTAATCCTACCTTTGTTTCACAAGATTACATGACCACCTATTTACCACCTTTTGATGCCCTGTTGCCAATGACTACCTTGATATGCATCCATTTTCAGCCATGTCTTTCATTTCAGGAGCCTGTGTTGGACTCTTGTGTAATCTATGTTCTGCTCCTGTAACCCCACCTCTTCCACCTGTCTAGTTCACCATCTGGAAACTCCCTACCTGAGCTTTGTAAAAATCTTGTCTCCCTCACCCCCCATGCTGACCCCTCAAACCCCACCTCAGGAGAGGCAGCCTGCTTTAATTAATCTGGTCATGAGGATTTGGGTCAGTGATATTTCTCTCCCAGTCTTTGAAATAACATGTACTGTAAATAAGATAATTAAAACTGCTAAACACAAAGTAATTTCAATGTAATCAGTATTTACATATTTCAGAAATAGTGAAATAAAATCTAAAATAGGATGGATTGAAACAAAGGGGGCAACAATGAACAATGAATAGAACACAGAGAAATGTTGTTTTACTGAATGATGTGACCATAATTCAGGTTTATGATGAGAGTACAAATCCATAATAAACACTTATTTAATGTAGAATCACCCATAGTCTCCCAAGTCCCCATAAGTATAGTCCTCTATGGTAGTTTTCATCTCTGATGTCACTACAGATTATGAAATGATTTTGATAACTTCAGAAGTTAAAGAAATGAGGCTGTAATTGTAGATAACTTGTTACAGATCTCTCATGATTACGTTGACTCAGTCTCTAAACAAACCGTTAAACACCTGGACACTGTAAAGTATAGTTGTTGGGCTTGCTACAAATTCACTTCCTATGTGTGTAGTTCCTGCCACTGCTGATCCCACTGTCACTCAAGTAGGCATATTCTCCTTCTCCTCGGATGGGAACCCTAAAACAAAAAACAAACAAAATTTCTGCAGAGTCGGCCACTGCACTCCCCCCAGCAATGACATCTCACTTGTGTCCACTGCTTGTTTATAGCACGAATCACAGACAGGCAGAGGCCATGAGGAATCACCAGCACTAATGTTACACCCAGTGACTTTTCCATTCTCAGAGTTCCATTTGGTGACCACACTTGTCTTACTCATCCATGTTGGACCCTGTACTGTGTGTACAAAGCATTTGACTGGTGCTCTCTGCCATGTTCACATGAACTTCATTCAGCCATAGGTAGCATCACAAGGGTGGTTTTCAAATTTATCTTAAAGAATTTCTCACATGTATGAAACTAGGAGAAAATGCACTTAGTAAATTCTAAAGGTCTTAATGATGGACATTCACTGTTCCAGTGAAATGGGCCTGTTCAAAAAGGCTATGCTCACATCCAGGTGGTGTCCTGGGTGCTCTTTGATGATGAGACTTTAGAGAAGGTTCCCAATGCCCCTGGAGTCTCTGCTTCTGTGACAGGTGCAGCTGTGCACGCAGCTGTTTGACAAGTCCTGTCCAGCATTTGTACAGTGACTTTCTGGGGTTTCAGAGCCCTTAGTGGCCATCAGCAGTTCTGTCTGCATCCCACAAGGGCAGTTATCAGGAAGGAAAGATTTCCAAGTTGTGATAGCAGGCAGCATCTACCCCAGATGCCATCATCAGGCTAAAGATTTGGAGTGAAAAAACCTTAGGTGACTCTAATAGATGTAAAGTTGCCAGGATGTAGAGTTACTAGGTGTTGGCTGATGCATGTAACATATAACCAACCACGACGCACACCTCCAGTCCAAGGCTTTCTCCTTTTTTAATTCAGTTCTCTTCCCAGGACTCAGCTTTCACCTTTTACAACCACAACTCATACAATAATAATACTTGAACACGGTAGGAGGGAAAACGCTCTGAAAACATACAAGTTGTTATATTCAGTGTTGTCTGTCCACATACTGGTGTGCTCTAATGACTCTCTGTGCAGGCCGATCCAGGCAACAAAATCTCCTGAATCTATGCAGGAAATTCTGTAAAAACACAGAAAGCAAATACATGTGTCTCTCAGTTTCAGACAAACCTTGAATGTCTGCTCTTCAGTCACCT